TTAGGGATTTTATGGAGATTCTATTACATAGGTATGATTGATTAAATCATTGGCCATTGGTGATCAATTCCATGGCCAGTCCCTATTTCCTTCCCAGTGGTCAGAGATGAGACTCAAAGTTTTAACCCTGTGTAACAAAGTTGATTACTGTGGCTACCAGCCTCTATCCTAGGGGTCCAGCAAAAGTCATCTTATTAGCGTAAACTTAGGAACGGTCAAAAGTAGTTTGTTTTGAATAGCAAAACACACTCTTGTTTTTTGTTTTTTCTTTTTTTTAAGAGAGAGATTTTTGCTATAGGGTGTATGCACTCGCCAGAGAGGCAGAAAGAGACAGAGAGACAGAAAGTGAGAAATCACCCCTCAGGGGTGTGGGAGGCTGCACACCAACGAGTCTGCCAAAGTCATTAGGTTTCGATTTCTCAGAAAGCAAACAATTATACAATGCCAAAGGCCACAATTGGCTCCCCTTCAAAACCTCACCTTCAAAACCATACTCTGATTGGCCACTTCCCATAGCAAATCAGTGAGTTTAGAATCCCTCAGATTTGCATGTCCGGCACCTCATGATTGGTTCACAAAAGCAACCAATCATAACCCACCTTTTACAATCCTTCATTTAACCAATCACCACCCACCAACATGTGTATAACCACGATCCCTGGCCCACAATCACCAGACAACCCTGAAGACCCTAAAGAGTTGTAACACTGTGTCATCTGTTATAACACTGCATCATCTCCATGTTGCTCATCCCACTTCTTCCCTCAGGAAACCTATTCAACTGTCCTGTGGGTCGGGATACAGGGGTGATGGCCACACCACAATTTCTTCCTCTCCATTCTTCTCTCAGGATTTTGGGTACACACACACACACACTCGGCATGAGTTTAAGCCACCAGGTCTGGGACTAGAACCACGATTGACTACATGGGAGTCCAGCAACATAATTGTTATGACATCTGCTGGTCTTGTAAAGCAAACTCTTATTACTCAGGAAATCACAAAGGCTTTAGTAGCTCTGTGTCAAGCACTAGGGACAAAGACCAAATAAATATTTCTCTTTTTTAAAGAATTATTTTATTTTATTTATTCATTCACTTATTTTAATTTGACCAGAGAGAGAGAGAGAGAGAAAGTGAGAAAGGAAGTCACCAAGTCCAGGACTCAAACCATGCTCAGCCATGTGAGCATGTCCAGCGCCTTAACGACCACGCCACCTGCTGGTCTCCATCTTTTTTTTTCTTAAGTTTGCCAGAGCATATGTATGCTCCCCAGAGAGAGAGAGCAAGCACCTCTAATGAAATGTGGCCAACCTCTAATCCCTTCTCCATTTCACCATCCTCTCTGAAACTTGAGTACGCACACTCACATACCCAATGTTCCCCAATTCACTAGGCCTGGGACTCAAACCACACAGCCACGTGGGATCTGGCTCTCTTAGCCACTGGACCTTGAGGCCAGCCCATGTATTACTTACTGAACAGAGTTACAATGCAATCACTGCAAGGCGCCAGTGGATCACTTCTTCCCCAGCTTGGGTGAGGAAAGAACAAGTGAAGGTTTCACAGACGTGACTGCCAGTGGCAGGAATGGGGGTGATTTGTAGACACTCGTTAAACCCCACCAACACTCCAAACCAACTCTCCAAAAAACATACTACCTAAGTAAAAAGAGAGTGCGCATTCTCTTTCAAGACAAGGTCCTACTCTCTCCACCAACTTGATACCAGCCTTCAAACCTCCACCAAATAAAAATGGGTTGGGGGGCCAGCAGGTGGCATGGTGGCTAAGGTGCTGGACTCCCACATGGCTGACCACAGTTCAAGTCCCAGACCTGGTGGCTTGCTTTCTCACTTTCCGTCTCTTTCTCTCTGTCTCTCTCTGGTGAGCACATGTGCCCTATGGCAAAATAAAAATAATAATAACAATAATAAATTAAATAATTTTTTTTAAAAAAAGGAAATGGGTTGGGATTTCTGGGGACCTTCCAGAAAGGAAGGTCCTTTTTGAGAAGAGACAGACTCCTCTGCTGATACTAGGAGGATGAGCTAATGCCATCCTTCCCATCCGGAGAGGACTCTTCTACCACCAGCCCCCAAAGGAGGCCTAGTTCAACCAGTGATGGGCTCCCAGGATGGGGTTCATGTAACAAGCACCAGTGTCTGGCACACATGGGCTCAGGTGCACGGCTGTACACTCTCTGGGCCTGGGACCTCAGTGTCTGTACTTTAAAAAATGGCCCGATCACTTTAGACAGACTAATACGCATAATCTGCTGTTTGGATTCCCTGGGGTGTCGCTTCCCCTGGACTGCTGTTCAGAGTCAGTGATGCCCATCCCAGGCTGGCAGTTGCCCTGGAGTGAAAAGCTGCCAAGATGTGACTTTAGGCCCTGTCCAACAGTCTCACCAGGGAGGACGTCCTCCAGCAAGCCAGCCTGATCCTCACCTAAGCCAATCCACAGAGAAGGAGGAAGCCCAAACCAGCATCTGGATTCTGCTAGTGGCTGAGCCCTGGGAACATCACCCACTGACTTTTCCATGGACAGTGCTCTCAGCCACCCTTTCCCCTGCCCTGTCCCCCATGGCACTGCCTCGGATCAGGTTTCATCTTCTCCATCTAAGACAGTTTCCTCGATAGTCCTCTGCCTTAAATCTCTGTCCCTCTGATCTATCTGCCGTACTGTTGCCTGGGCAATCACCCATAAATACAAGTTGACCGCATTTCTCTCCTACCTAAATCCTTAAATGACTTTCCACGGTCTACAGGGAATGTCCACACTTATCAGCAGGGCATAGAAGACCTTTCAGAATTCTGAAAGACTCTTCTAGGCTGGTCCAGAGGCCCAATGGTTAAGGTAGCCAGATCCCACATGGTCAACTATAAAGTTGGAACCTGGAAGCTTGAGACACTCTGTGCAGGTATGTGTGTGCATGCCCCAAATCCCAACAGAATGGAGAAATGGAGGAGGAAGCATTCTGGCATGACCATGCCTCATGGGAGGTGTTTTCTCCCTCTCCCTCTCTCTATGCTTTTCTGTTTCTCTGTCTCTCTCTGGTAAGTGCACACACCCTCTGGCAAAACAAACAAACAAGCAATGCCTCCTTCCTGGTCTCTGAACAATTCTATTTACACCCCTATGCCCTACTTACGTGTTCCCACACCAGATATGTTCAGGCACCACTGGTGTAGCATAGTACAGGGGTTAGGAGCTCAGACTTGGGAGCCGAACTGCTTGGGTCAAAATTCTGGCAATGCCAACTACAAGCTTTAGGACATGTGGATTTGAATTAAATCCACTTAAATTCACTGTGCCTTGGGACCAGCAGTTAGCATAATGGCTGGGCTAACTCCCATGTAGTCGACTGTAGTCCCAGACCCGGTGGCTTAAACTCACACCAGGTGTGTGTGCGTGCATGCCCAAGATCCCATAGGAGAACGGAGGAGAAGGGATTGCGGCGTGGCCATCCCCCCTCGGGGGTGATTTCTCGCTTTCTGTCTCTCTGTCTCTCTCTGTCTTTCTGGCGAACACACGCACCCTATAGCAAAAACCTCTTGGAAAAAAAGGAAAGAAATTCACTGTGCCTCAATTACCATGTCTGTAAAAAGAGAATAATAAAACTATGTATCGCATAGGTTTATAGTAAGAGAGAAAAGATTTAACACATGTGAAGCCTTTGGAAGTCTACCTAGCAGCTAATAAATGTTCGCTATTATAATTGCGTCTTTGCCCATACTACTTCTACCTGCACGCCCCTCCACAGTTCTCACCTGGGAATTCCTATTGATCCCCCAAAGCAAAACCAAAGTCTAGCTGTGGAGCCCTCAGTATTTCCTCTGGGATATCTACTCCCTCTCCAGTGTCCCCTTCACCTCCCGGGCTTGCCTCTACTCAGCATGTATCACTTTGAATCCTAAGTCCCCATGCTAATCTGCCTTCTCAAGCTGACGGCATCTCTCTTTATACTTCCCCAGGGCCCACAAGGGCAGTTTCATGAGCAAATGGACAAACTTCTAGAAATATTGTAAGTAGGATATTTTTGCCTAGTATCATCTATAGGAATAAACACTAAAAACCCCATTATAATGAAAACTTGATTTTTACTTATGCATTCTTTTTTTCCTTTCTTTCTTTCTTTCTTTTCTTTTTTTTTTTTTTTTAATTTACTGGAAGGCACGTGTGCTTGCCAGTGGGAACAGGGTGAGAAGCACCTCCCCAATGAGCAATGGTTACATGCAATTCCTTCTACTCTATTTACCCCTCCTTTTGGGATTTTAGGCACACATGCCCATTGTTTTTCAAGTCTCCAGGTTCTGGATTCCAACCACTGTGCAGTCAATCATGTGGGATCCAGCTGCCTTAACTGCCATGCCATTGGCTGGCCCTCTGCACTCTTCCTTAAAGCCATAAAAGACTATTAATGTCTTCAAAAAGAAAAAAAAAAATGTGAACAGATTAAATGGTTGGACTTTTCAAAAAATATCAGACAGTAAAATAGAAAGCCTTTCTTGTTTAATTAGTCATTAGGATCAGGTATCTATGGAAACACTGGCTGATCACACTAAAATAGGTAATCATCTCTTCATTTAACAATGCACAATCAACAGGAGAGTTGGAGCTATGAAGCATCAACATTCATTCCCTCAGTGAGTGTTTTCTGACCAGTAATGGGATGAGGAAACGGAACTCACTTCCTGCCTTCCACACACTGGGCAGCTCCAGCACACCTCATTCTGCTGGGAAGGCAGGGGAGGTCAAGGGAACGTGTGCAAGAGCATGTTTACAATCTGGTAGGTAGTCCAAATGAGGAATGAAGAGGCCTGGCAGCAAGGCAGGTGAGGTGGAAGGGATGGGAGAGAAATGCAGGAGCAAAGTCCTAGAAAAGATCAGCTGAAGATGAGAATGAGCAGGAACAAAAAGGGAATTTCTGGGGATGGTAGAAAATTCTAGAACTCAATGAAGGTTCTAGAACCAGATCAGGGTGATGGTTACATCAAAGCACAAAGGGCTGGTAGCACAGCAGAAAGACAGCACTCTGCCAGCTGCATCCACATGCTGGACCCAGGTTTGTGTCCCAGGGCCTCCCTGTACACACACTGGGTACCTTTAATCTAGGCTGGGCTGGCTGAGGCTGAGGGTTGTTCACAGTGTGAAGACCCTCTTGGGTCTTGGGTGCCTTTGTTTGTCTCTCTGTCTCCCTCTCTTAAGTAGGCAATAAGTAAGTAAGCTTTTTTTTTTGTTTTTTGTTTTTTTGAGAAGTTTGCTTTGTTTTGTTTTGTTTTAGCTGTAGGGCTTGTGTGCTCACTGGAAAGACGAAGAGAGACAGAAACAGAAAGCGAGAAATCACCCCAGGGGAGATGGCCACACTACAATCCCTTCTCCATCCTCCTTTTAGGATTTTGGTTACACATGCGCACGCTCCCAGCTTGAGTTTCAAGCTGTTGGGTCCAGAACTCAGACCGTGGTCCACCATGTGGGAGTCTAGCGAGTAACTATTATGCCACCTGCTGGGCCTGATAAGTAAACTTTTTAAAAAATGCATTTAAAATGGGTACATTTTTTGTATGTAAATTATACTTCAATGAAGTTTGTTTTTTAAAAAAGTCGTTAAGAAGAAGAGAATGACGGTGCGTATCAAGTGACGGGGAGTCCAGGACAGGGCAGGAGTGGTTGTGGAAGCAGATACTGGACTCGTCTCAAACATGTCAAGGTCAGGTATTTGTGGTCTTTACTCAGGTGCAATTCCTGAACCCACAGCATTGTATCACCTGAGGGCAAAGATTCTTTCTTTGACCAAAATTCACTCAGGCTCCCTGAACTCTTTCTTTTGAACTTCAGTGCTTATCTCCGCATTGTCCGGTTTTAGAAAAAAATCCTGCTAAGTCAGTTTAACCGGAACCCCACCCACAGATCTGATCACCCTGGATATCTGATCAGGTTCATCCGCCACCAGCCCCCAGGTGGTGTCTGATCACCTGGTCCACCTTCAGTTAGAATCCAGCTAGGTTGGTTCCACTGGAATTCCCCTTATCCCTCTTAGTAATTTTCCATTTTCGGGCCCCCACTCTGCCCCTTGGCCATAAGTTCCTCCTTTTCCTTGTATCCATAGATTCCAGGTATAAGGATAACCCTCCCACACCCCTTTTTAGTCAAGCTGTTCATTCCTTTCTTTAACACTGGGAGCTTGTTGGAAATGCAGAATTTTAGGTGCTATCCCAGACCTACTGAAACAGAACGTGCACATTGTAAGATCCCCAGGTGATTCACGTGCACATTCAAGGTTGAGAAGCGTTGACTGGAGGGGCCGGAAATGGCTTCTTGCTGTGAAACAAACACCTGAGGCTGTGAAAAGCTAAGGCCACAAGAAAAGCCTAAGGGATGTAGAGCGAGAAAGGCCTACACACCATGCCCCAGTAGGTGAGGTGGCCACCATTAGGCAGCACCCAGGCAGACAAAAAGGGTGAAGTAAAGAGTCCAGGGCCAGCAGATAGCAAAAGCAGTTACATTACTGGACTTTCACATGGCCGACAGTGGTTCGAGTCCCAGACCTGGTGACTTGAAAATCATGCCAGATGTGTGCGCATGTGTGTGTGTGCCCAAAATCCTGGGAGGAGAATGGAGGAGAAGGAATTGCATTGTGGCCACTCCCCCGGGGAATGATTTCTCACTTTCCCTCTCACTATCTCTGTTTCTCTCTCTCTCTGGCAAGTGCACATGCCTTAAGGCAAAAATGTCTTTAAAAAAAGAAAAGAGTCCAGGCCTGTTGCCTGGGTGCTGGTCATTTTTCCAGTGAAAACTAAGCTGGCCTTTGCACAATATCATTCCTCAAGGCCTTTCCGGGGGTGTGGTCTCACATGAACCAGACTTAACCCAGCAAGAGTCCTGCAAGATCAGAATGAGCCTTTGCTTCATTAGAGAGATGAAGAAGTTTCATCTCAGAAAGTTGTGACATCCCCACATGGGCTCAGTTTGGGCAGCCTGATGCTTTGTTCCAAAAGACCTCGTGGATAGATAGATCCAAGAGAGTGGGCAAGGGTGGTCCACACTACCTGCTGAAAGCCCACCCTGGGAGGGGGCTAGCCCTGGCTTGGAGGGCCTCCCCTGAATAAGTCCTTGTTGGCCCGAGTGCCTTGCTCCCAGTTGCCCCACATCCAGGAATACCAGGGCAGCTCCCTGCAATGCCCACCCTGCCAGATGTGTGCGCATGTGTGTGTGTGCCCAAAATCCTGGGAGGAGAATGGAGGAGAAGGAATTGCATTGTGGCCACTCCCCCGGGGAATGATTTCTCACTTTCCCTCTCACTATCTCTGTTTCTCTCTCTCTCTGGCAAGTGCACATGCCTTAAGGCAAAAATGTCTTTAAAAAAAGAAAAGAGTCCAGGCCTGTTGCCTGGGTGCTGGTCATTTTTCCAGTGAAAACTAAGCTGGCCTTTGCACAATATCATTCCTCAAGGCCTTTCCGGGGGTGTGGTCTCACATGAACCAGACTTAACCCAGCAAGAGTCCTGCAAGATCAGAATGAGCCTTTGCTTCATTAGAGAGATGAAGAAGTTTCATCTCAGAAAGTTGTGACATCCCCACATGGGCTCAGTTTGGGCAGCCTGATGCTTTGTTCCAAAAGACCTCGTGGATAGATAGATCCAAGAGAGTGGGCAAGGGTGGTCCACACTACCTGCTGAAAGCCCACCCTGGGAGGGGGCTAGCCCTGGCTTGGAGGGCCTCCCCTGAATAAGTCCTTGTTGGCCCGAGTGCCTTGCTCCCAGTTGCCCCACATCCAGGAATACCAGGGCAGCTCCCTGCAATGCCCACCCTGACTAGGGGGCCTTCCAGGTTTCAGGCTTGGCCCAGAGAACTGCACAGGCACTGGTGCCTGCTACCCGGACCTCCAGGGGGGCAGGGAGAACTTTATCTCACTTGTGACGCCCACTCTGAGGCCTGTCCCTGCAGCAGCTGAAACCAGGGAGAGTAGAGGACCGGGGGAGACAGAGGATGTGGCCCCTCTGCTGCTGCTGAGCTAAGAGAGTCTGACTCCAGCCTCGGCCAGGGTTGCCTTCTGCCCTCCATTCCTCTCCTAACCCCACACCACAGGCCCGTTTACTGATCTCCAGATTTCAAGCTCATTCATGTTTGAGTCCACCACTGGAACTCAGACCAACTCCTCCCTGTGCAGAGAGTGCCCAGAGAGAGAAAAGGAGCTGCTTTTGTCACACAGAGAGCTAGCAGCAGAATAAGCCTGTCCACCCCTGCACATCCCAACCTGGGCATAACCACAACCTTGTCCCAAGCACCCCTCTTAGGGATCTTGCACCTACTGTTCCAAATGTTGAGACCCATCCTCTCAACACTTCTGGGGTTAATTTTCTCAGTACAGACAGTCCCGACTTCCAACTTCCCAATGGTGAGAAAGCAATATGCGTTCAATGACACCACACTCCGAGTGCACATACAGCCATTCTGCTTGCACTTTCAGTACAGCATTCACGAAGTTACATGAGCTAGCCAGCACTTCATTATACAATAGGCCATGTGTTTGGTCATTTTGCCCAACCGGAGGCTACTGTAGGAGTTCTGGGCATGTTTAAGGTAGGCCAGGCTAAGCTATGATGTTAGTCGTATAAAATTCAGTTTGACTCACAGTATTTTCAACTTTGAAGATGTCATTAAGTCAAGGAGCGTCTTTGCATACAAGTCTCTCTGCTCACAAATCAGCTCATCAAGAGCCCCTCCCTGACCCCTATTTGTAAAACAGCCCTCCCCACTACGTTACTCTTCAGAGCTCTGGGCACTCTCTGATATTCTGTTCTATTCATTGTTTTATTTTGTGTACTTTCTGTCTTCCCTGGCCTGAATACAGAGACCAGAGCAGCAGCAACTTTGTTCGTTTCCATATTGCCCGTTTCTAGAACAGTGCTTGACATTTAAGAGGTACCCTCTGAGTATCTGTCAAATGAATGAATGAATTCAAACCATGCTTTTAGTCTGGGGGAGGGAATAAACCCCTGCCCTTCTGTCTGGATAGCTATCAGCACACCCCTATCTCCTCCGCTGTCTCCTCTGGGCTTTGTCCATTCCACCTCTTACGCTTGCCCAGGGAATTGCGTGAGGAAGCTGGGGCCTTGTCTTTATCTAGCCCTTGGGTAGCTGGTCTTTCCCTTCCACACACAACGCTGACCACGGGCCACCGCCATCCTCCCCTGTGTCCTTCTACTCATCTTAGAATGGTCTCGCCCATCTCCCAGGCAAACCAGCAGTTTGTCATTCAGTTTCCTCACTGACTTAATCCTCACAATCACACTCAGATTCCTAAATTCCAGGTTCAGAAAGGTTAAGTAACCTCCCTGAGGCCACACAGCTAGTGAAGGAGCAGAGAAGAAACTCCAACCAAAGTCCCCTGATTTGGAGTTCTGCTGTCAGCCTCGTCTCTGCCAGTTCTGGGCTCCAGAACAGAGGGAAGAACGTCAACACCAAATCATCACTGGGGTAATAAACGTGCAGTGCTTAGCGAGTTGTTGGCGCTCGCTGAGGTTTTGTGATCCCAGACAGGGTTTAGCTACTGCAGTCTGGTCTCTTGGAATGTTGTCTGACAGGTCAGACCACCCTCCCTCTTTGGTCGGCTTCTTTTGGAACACCCACCAGAAGCATGTTGGACCCACTGGCCAGAGGCTGTGAGGTCATGCCAAGTTGGTGCTGCTCCTCCTAGTTTCTGTAAATGATTTCCATGGTCAAGAGTGGAAGAGACCAGGCGGAGAACTCGGCAACTCAAACAGGGGCTTAGGAGAAGAATGAGGCTATGATACACACGATGGACCTCCCTTACCAGTCTGTCTAGAATGTGTAAATATTCTAGAGAATAGAACTGTCACTTCCGCTTTTAAGAACACTGGGCCTCTAGTAATAGAGCCTTAACTCATAGCCATCTCCTAGACGTGGGCTGAGGTTTAAAGAATGACCTGCAAAAATTCAACCCAGCATTCAGCACAGTGGTTAGCATGTAGTTGGCCTTACATAGAAAATAGGCAGAAAGAAGAGTATTTAAGGAGAGAAGATGGCACAGCCCAGGCCGTAAAGTCGGGAATGATCATGGCCTGTGGAGAGGGAAATCTGTGAAGTAGGTCTGGTGGAGCCTAGGGCTTGGGATGGGACTCCTAGATGGAACGGGGTGCTTGAGACAGACCATGCAGAGCCTTGAATAACAGGTTCAAGAGTCTGGACTTCCAACAGGCCCAGAAAGACTGGAAGTTTGTTAGCAAAGTAATATGATGGTTCATGATTCAAAATATCAATTGGGGTGGGAAAAGGAGAAAGGGAGCCCAAACTAGGAGGTGAGGAATTCCACAACAGCACTCTGGTACTTTCACCCACATCCTCTGAGAAAATGGTACTCAGAGAGGTAAAGTGCCTTACCCTGGGTCACACAGCTATTGAGGGCGCTGGAACTGGATTGATTTTTTTCCAGGCTCAATATCTTTCTGTTACATGAGGCCCTCTTAGGGGACAGCTGAGGCTATGGCCCCCAGCAGGTGTTCAAAAATAGCTTTGGTCTTGGCTTGATGGGCCGCCTGGCTTGGGGTGGATGCGATAAGGAGGCATAACAGATGTGAATGACAGGGCTTGAGGATGGATTGATTTGGGGCTGAGTGGGAGCCTATGCCACCATTACAGAGAGACAACAGCAAGAGGTCAGGGCAGGGCTTCGCTTGTCTGAGAGAGGGAGACAAACCAGCCCAGAGATGACTGCACGAGAAAAGTCTCCTCCAGAATCGAGCTGTTAGGCGCTTCTGTGGATCCAAAGGGCTTCAGAGTCCTCTCTGGTCATAGGATGTGGACACGCAGTGGAGAGGGGAAGAAAGAATACACAAATCCCCAAAGACCTGCAAGGATGCCCCAAAGCATCAGAGGGACCCGTGCAAAAGCATGGGTGCGACCAACTTCAGCTCCCTGAACCAGTGGGCTCCCTTGGTGGCTTTGGGATAATCGCTCACCCTCTGCATGTCTTGGCTTTCACATCTGTAAAATGGGAATGATGATACTTACCTACCTCATCGTGGAGTTATGAGAATTAATTAATGTTTATAAAGGACTTGGAGATCCACAGATGAAAGGCTCTGTGGAACTACAAAGTATCATTACTGTAATTACATTACACTATTATCTCTCGGGCCAAGGGCTTTCTGCAGCTTTACTTATTACTGAGAATGGGTGATGGGGTGCAGATAAAACCCAATCTCCCCCAAGCATCGCACAAAACTCCAACCAAACTCCCATCCAGATCTAAACTTGGGAGATTCCATCAGTCTTGGAAGGCAGGACAAACATCTCCAACCCCAGGATTCCCTCAGGGGCAGTGAGACACAGAAAGACTGTCTTCTGAGACTCCCTCTGAAAGCAACAGTTTGGGGGGTCTTACAGGATCACGGGCCACACCACAGGCGCTCTCTCTTGGGGGGTGCTATTATGCTCTCTTTTAGGGGGATATTTTTATGCTAAACAGGGGCCCCTGTGGGGTTCCTTTCCATTATTTCCCTGGCCCTAAATCAGACCCTGTTTCCAGACTTAAAAACAGAAGGCCGCTTGGCTCGGAAGGCAAGCTCCCCCACATTTATTGAACCTCCAACGATTCTGGCGCTTACCCATCCTCACCCATTTCACAATACCTCAATCTGACCAGGTAGGCGAAAGCTAGATCTGAAAGAAATATAATTACCTTTTTACGAGCTTATGACATGGCTGCACCCTTCACGCCTGCCAGCTTGTCCAGTCACTCACAAATGATGATATACGTACTATAAATTATATCATTATCGACCTATAATTACAGGCAACATATATACGAATCCCCCTGAAGGAGATTGAGGCTCCAAGATTACGTACCCGCGCCCCTCGGTCCCTTGGGAAAAAGCCCGTTGGAAGAGGGAAGGTTACCGATTTCCAAATATCACAGACGCTTGGTTAAAACAACAGAGACGCCCCCTTCCACCTTCGTGCGTCACACCCCTGGGCTCCCCTAGAACATATCAGCTCACTCCACAGCACGCACAAGCCTGAAAGGTTGGCAGGACAAATCTGGACAAGTGAAGGCAAACTCAGGGAGGGGGACCGTGAGCCCAAGGGCCCTGGCTCAGGGAGTTCCAGAGCAAAGGGCCCGAGCTGAGAGAGGTCCTAGGAAAGGAGGCCTGGATGGGGTGGGAGCCCTGTTGCCCCCTCAGGCCTCAGAGAACACCCATAGGACACCTCTGCTTCCAGGATTAGCTGAGCACTGGTACCCCAGAGGTGTCCTTACTCCACAGGGGCAATTCCCTGTGGCCAGCAGTGCCCACACCGTGCATTATCCTGCAGGGTGGCTTAGAGGGCCTGGCTGAGATGGGCTGTGGGTCCTTTATGATGATCCTTGGCTGATGGCAGGAAGCTAGGGGGTCACTGAGCTCAGCTCAGTTCCTCAGGGGACCCCTGGGCTGAAGGGAGATAGTAAGTCGGGTGTGAAAAGGGGGACAGAGGGGCTGCATGGCTGCACCCTTCACGCCTGTCAGCTTGTCCAGTCACTGACGAATGATGATATACGTACTATAAGTTATGTCATTATCGACCTATAATTACAGGCAACATATAATGAATCCCCCTGAAGGAGATTGAGGCTCCAAGATTACGTACCTGCGCCCCTCGGTCCCTTGGTTAAAAGGGACCACCCACCCTACTGGGTGCTGGAGCTGATCAGCCATCCACTTCCTGCCCTCCACAGGCTTCCCTGAAGCTCTAGGCCAGACCGAGGAGCAGGCAGGAAACAGACATGATTACCTTAGGGAGGCCCCAAGGAACACCTACCCTGAGAAAAACATGATGGGAGACCACCTGGACAGGGTCAGTAGCAGGAGAGGAGATGGTTGGGTCGGGTCAGGGATTTGAGAGGTCAGTATGGATTTTCCAGTAGGGACAAATGAGCAAAGATTTTGTAGAGAGAACCTCCTATAAAGGACAGAGAGATGAAATGAAATGTTATGTTCAGAAGGCAGCAAGCATCCCCGCCATACCTACGGGAGAGCTGCAGAGGTGGGAGGGGATGCCAGATCCACAGCCAGCTTCCCCTTCTCCCATCTTACTTCCTGCTCTTCCATATTCAAGCCTGCACTCGGCCCGCCTGACCCTTCAGCACCCCCGTTACTCCCCTGAAGATCCTTGGCCTTTTCTCCTATCCTTAAGCTGACCTAGCCCTGGACCCCTTCTCTGTGACATTTCCTCCTCCTGGTCCCATCAGCTTGTCTGGTCACACTGGGTAAGTGAGGGTCTGAGGGTTCTCTGTTGGGGTATGCACAACAAATCCCCAAATCTGGGTGGTCCTGGTGAACTCCTTCAACCAGCCCTACTCCTGCCACACAGTGCCAGGGGCTGAAGAGGAAGAGGATGCCCAGAGTCACCCATGCCACACTCAGAGAAGCCAAAAGCCTCCTCCATCTGGATGGCAGACGACCCCAACTGTGGCTCGTCCTTGAATCACATCTTGTAAAAAATCATTTGCACATTTGAATTCAAAGCCCCTCAAAACAGTATAAACACCACCATCCTGAGTACCATAAAAACCACATTGAGCATTTATGGAAACTCAAACATGTGTATTAACATATGGCAAAAATTTCACTTACTGCATCTTTTTAGCATTGGACTGGTGCATGAGGCATCTGTGCTCAAGCATTTGAATGGAAGCTTCAGAAAAGAGCAGAACGAGAAAAAGGCTGTCGCTAAGGCTGGCTGCTTGGTCGGACTGCAGGGATGCCCAAGGCTCAATCCCTGGCAAGGAGTGGTAGCTTCAGCAGAGAGCTGGGGGGTTGGCCCACCAAGGGGCAGCATGGGGATGCATATGTAGCACAGTCCATCCTAGATCCTTCAAGGTAGGCCCCCTCCCCTGCCCACACGCTTTCCTCTTTTTCTTGTCTCATTTCTCTCTCCTGCTACCTCAAAGGAGCACATGGGTCTCAGGAGTTGGAGATGGGAGAAGGAAGCTCTCCCGGTTCTGTTTCCCCATCTCAGTTCCTGGCAGGAGACAGTGCAATCGTTCAGTGCCCCACTACCCATGACCACACTTGGATGGGTTCCCAGAGCATTGGGAACCTGCTCTGGGTTCTACATGGAGACATCAGCACGCATCCTCTGTGTCTGCTTGGTCACAGCAGCTTCCCCCATTGCCCAATTTTGGGGGGTAAAGTTATTTATTTCTTCCTTCCATGAGTGAGAGAAAGAAACAGGCACCCCAATAGGGTCTTGACGCCGTGATTCACCTCTAGCCTCAGTGAGCCCGAGGTCATGGCTGCTCTTATGCCTGGCACGTTGGCATGCTCAGGAAGGTCTCTGGATACAAACCCAGAATCTTCGCGGGCGGATCAGCCTTGCAGAATGTTGTGTTACCACTGTGCTGCAGCCCAGCCCCTTGACTCCATCTTGAAGGCCAGTCAGGAACATTTCTCTTCTTGTTTTTTAAAGGAATTTGCCATAGGGTG